TGACTTTTAAAATATCTCCTACTCGAATAATAGGCAAACCAGGAGTAAATTGCTGTTCATCCCAGCAATTTACTAAAGATTGAAGAGACCTTGAAACTGACTGAATATTCTTCATTTTTTTTTTGTAATAATTAAAATTTCATTCAAATTTGATTTATGTARAAAAGTAAAAAGATACTCTCAATTCTGTAAAAAAATAAAATATCAATTTTTTTTTTGTTCTAGCCACGGCGCGGCGCGGCGTGAGAAAAAAAAAAGTGATGTTTTTTTTGCCGATTTGAACTTAAACGAGGATGTTGCCTTTCAGCTGTTTTTCTTGCCTTTACTCACTCCTTTGGCTCCCTCTCCTCTATTCTGAGTTCTCTTTTCTTTTCCAATTCACCTTGGCTTACAATTTTCCCTCCTCAATTTGTCCGCTCCTCAATTTTCACATCATTCAATTTCCACTCACTCATTTGCTGCAACACATCCACTTCCCTTCCCACCACTCTTCTCCTCTCCCAACTCTCCTAATCGTGACACTGGATGTTCACTGTGATATGTAAAACCTCACACTTTTGAGTTCACATTGTTCCCGTCTCTCTCTCTCTCTCTCTCTCTCTCTCTCTCTCTCTCTCTCTCTCTCTCTCTCGCCCCCTTCCTGTCCGCCCTGCCCCAGGGAATGTGGACCGCAACAAGCATCTTAAGATAATTGGCCACAGTCCGCAATTTCAACCTTCTTTGTTGTCTTCCCATTTGCGGTCCCCACCGCTTCGATTTTACTCACGACATCCATGCCTTGTATCACTCTTCCGAACACAACGTGTTTTCCATCAAGCCAAGATGTTGGCACAGTGCACAGAAAGAACTGGGATCCATTGGTGTTCGGTCCCGCATTTGCCATGGACAGCACACCAGGCGCATCATGCTTCTGCGATTTGACAATCATGTTCCAAAGACGACACACAGCAACAAAAAAACAACAACAAAGAAATGGAAACCACCACAACCAAAAGACAGCAGCAGCAAATGTTAAATTTGAAATTTGAAATTTGTAGGATATGACTACTACTAGTCTTACAGATTCTTGCATTAAAACAGATTCATCCACATCCACATACTCACATACCAATCATGCATGTGTACACACACACACGGCAGATTCATGCATGTGTAGCACACACACACGGGAGGTTCGTGCATGTGTACACCCCCCTCTATTACATACACACATACATACAATGGCGAACTGTAGGGTGAACCATAAGCAGAGAGAGAAAAGGACAACAAACAAATTGAATCGGCTGTGACATGGTATTTGCATCCAAGTACGGAGTTTCACCGAATCCTCCACTGAACCCTTTCTCTATATATCTATATCATCATAGAGAACCACCCCGTCAACCGCAGGCAGACAGACTGTTTCGTCGGGGACACACACACACACACACACACAAAGAGAGAGAGAGAGAGAGAGAGAGAGAGAGACCGGACCCCTTTCAGAACCGCATTGTGTGATTGGGCAGCCAAAATCAAATTGGCACGAACTTGCCCCTTCTATATTTGAACAAATTGAATTCTCCCACCTTTTCTTATCCCCCCACCTTCATTTGAACAAATTGAATCCTCCCATCTTTTCTTATCCCCCCAAGCCCCTCCCCACCCCCTCACCACCCCCTCCCCACCCCTGACCACACAACAAGTCCCCACCTTCACGAAGTTCTCGTCTGCAAACTTCATGCCATAAATGGACTCTCCTCCAGTGCCATCACCTCGGGTGAAGTCTCCCCCTTGGCACATAAACTTGGGTATCACTCTGTGGAATGTCGACCCCTTATAATGCAGGGGCTTCCCAGATTTGCCCATCCCCTTCTCTCCTGTACACAGTGCTCTGGAAGAAATAGACCAACACAGGAAATTCAAAGTGGAAACATTAAATTAAATAAACAAAGCCAAATTGACTAGTACACAAGCACCACAAAAAAAAAAAAAAAAAAAAAAAAAAAAAAAAAAAAAAAAAAAAAAA